AGGAAGCAGTTCATGTTGTGGAGTTCAGCTGAGCCATAACTCAAAGGCTTTTGGTCATCCGTAAATTGGGGATGCTTTTGTCCTCTGAAGACCTGAAGCAGCCTGCACGTCTTACCCTCCTTTTGGTAAAACCAAAGACACCTTGCTCAATTTCACTCCAGCATATGCTCTGCAATTCAGTGGCCAGTTGAGGATCCGCTTGTAAAAACTTAATATGGAGAAAAAGATGACAATTTTCGCTACCACACCCCACCCCCAAGTCTGGGCATAGGAGAAAACACTGGATCATGTATAGAAAGAGCTGGGTCTGGAGCACCGGCTCCAGCTGGCATGGAAGCTCCTTTTCTAGATCTTTCTAGATATAAAGTCTAGGCATGAGCCACCGCACCCACCGTCCTTTTCTAGATGGTTCTTTCCCTAGTGACTTTGCTGAAGCCTTTGCTTTCATGAATGGCACTGGAATCACCTGACAAGGATTTCCAAGCAGCCATCATGAAGGGGCCTTAAAAAGCAATGACAGATTCTCATGATGGAACATCTCAGCAAAGAAATAAAACTATGAAAAGGAAATGAAGATTATGGACCTGAATAGAATAATGGAAATAAGACTGGATGGGCTCAGAGGTGCTGTAGAGAGGGCACTGATTAGTGAACTTGATCGAGGACTCGTCAAGGGAGGGGCTCCGTGTGGACAACGGAGGGAAACCAGACCCCTGAAAGCAAGGGCTGCCCGGGGCTGCACACGCTGTGGGGCCGCAGACACGGTGGGAGTGACGGCAAGAGTGCAGACTCCCCGGCTCCCTCGCCGGCTCCTCGTCTCGCCCTCTGCGTCTCTGTGTCTGTGACTCTGTCTCTCTGTGACTCTGTTTCTCCCCTATTTGTCTTTCTGTCTCTGTGATATCCTCCACCTCTCCGTCTCTCCCTCTCTGTGTCTACGTCTCTGTCTCTCTCATCTCTGAAAGGTCAGAATCACAGGAGGCCTTCAGTGCTTGTTTTGTTCCCCTTGGGGGAAGAATGAAGGCCACCCCGTGAAACCCGTGGCTCTTGCAGATGCCTGCATGAAGCACGGGCGGTGGTCGGGGGCCGGATGTGGGCTGCGGGAACAGGCCAGCTGCTTAGGGGGAAACCCAATTTGGGGCCTGCGATTTTCCTTAGCGATAGGGAGGCAGGAGCTGTAAGCAGAGCTTACGGGCAGCCTGGCTGAACTGATATCCATGCGCAGAAGAAACGGAGCCTGGACCTGCAGGTGAGCAGTCCTGGGAGAGAGCTGGGCAGCCCACGGGCAGCTGGCTGCAGGCAGAGCCAGTGGCAACAGGATGCAGGGATCAGTCCCAACAGGGAGGGGTGAAGCTGTTAAGGTAAAACCAAGACAATCTTTCTATCATTTTGTCTACAGTGATTATATCTTCAGGTCTTTTTCGGGATAGTTCCTGTCTTAAATATCCAGTTCTCACATTAGACCAATTATATTCCTTTTTGGTTCCAGACACCATGTCAGCATCATTCAGCTTCACCTTTGGTCACCATAATCAAGTGATTTATGGTACCTGAGAGTGTCACAGGCACAGGTCCTTAGGTCATTACGTCACAAATCATATATCTAGTGCCTGTCCGTATATGCCATCTGTTAAGATACAAGCCTCATCCAAACGGACCAAATATGCCTCAGCTGGAGCATGTATTGTGTAGTGCAGAGACAGATTCTGCAAACACCACGCAGGAATTAATGAGACAGTGCATTTACCAGTGATAGGTGTTATGGAGGAAAACAGCAGGTGGGGGGTGGGAAGTGCCAGCACCTGGGGCAGTGTTGCAGGCTGACGTCAGGTCACTGGGGAGGTGTTACTGAGAAGTGACATGAACAGAGACCTGATGAATGGGAGTGAAGAAAGGAGCGATGTGAAGATCTGGGAGGATGGTGTTGCAGGTAGGGGAACAGCTTGTTTGAGGTCCTGGGGCAGAAGCCTACCTAGGGAGTTCCAGAACAGCACAGGCCAGTGCGAGTAGGGAGGTGGTAGCTTGCTGATTAGGTCAAGGAGGGAACGAGGGAGTGAGTGTGTAGAATCTGCTTGGCCAGTTGAAGGACTTGGCCTTTTATTGTTAACTTTTGCTTTTTTAGAGGCAGGGTCTTGTTCTGTTGCCCAGGAGGGAGTGCAGTGGCAGATCACAGCTCACTGCAGCCTTGAACTCGTGGGTTCCAGTGATCCTCCCGAGTGGCTGGGACTACAGTATACGTCACCATGGTCAGCTAATTTTTAGATTTTTTGTAGAGTAAGTGTCTTGCTACATTGCCCCGGCTGATCTTGAACTCCTGGCTTCAAGCAATTCTCCTGCTTTGGCTTCCCAAAATGTTGGGGTTACATATAAGGTCTAGGCATGAGCCACCGCGCCCAGCCTAGACATTATTTTTTAGAGCAGTTTTAGGTTTCCAGAAGAATGAGCCAAAAGTACAGCGTTCCTATACACCCCCTTCTTTCAGTCCACCCACTTTCCCCCATTATTAACACCCTACATTAGTATGATGCACCTGTTACAACTGATGCGCTGATACTGATACTTTATTATTAACTAAAGGCCATAGTTTCCGTGAGGGTTCACTCTGTGTTCTATGTTCGTTCTGTGGGTTTTGACAAGTGTATAATGACACGTAGCTACTCTAATATCATACAGAGTAGGTTCACTGCCCTGAAGTCCTCTATGCTCTGCCCGATCATCCCTCCCTCGCCTCAACCCCTGGCGACTGTTGATGTTTTTACTGTCTCCATGTTTTTTTTTTTTTTAAATTTACATTTACTGGTTCATTATAAGAATATTGCAAAGGCTGCAATGAAGAGACACATAGTGTGGGCTATGAGGGGAGGGTTATGCAGCTTCCATGCCCTCCCTGGGTGTGCCCCCCTCCAGGAACCTCTATGCATTCAGCTGTGTGGAAGCTCCAAAGTTTTGCCTTTTCCAGAATGTCACATAGGTAGAACCACACATTCTGTAGGCTTTCTGATCAGCTTCTGTCACTTAGCAATATGCATTTGAGGTTCCTCCATATTTTTTTATGGATTGATAGCCCATTTATTTCTATCACTGAATAATCCCATTGTACGATGTACCACTGCTTTTTTCTGCATTCACCTACTGAAGTACATCTTGGTTGCCTCCAAGTAATGGCAATTATGAAGAAAGTTGCTATAAACAAATGCCTGCAGGTTTTTGTGTGGACATAGGTTTTCAGCTCCGGGTGGGTGAATATAATACCAAGGAGCACAATTGCTGGATCATATGGTAGACCCACGTTTAGCTTTGCTGGAGACTGCGCAGCTGCCTTCTAGTGGCTGCACCATTTTGCCTTCGCACCAGCAATGAGTGTGTTCCATTGTTCTACATGCTCGTCAGCATTTGGTGTTGACAGTCTTGTGCATTTTGGCCATTCTAATAGGTGTGCAGTGGCATCTCCTTGTTTTAATTTGCATTTCTTTCATAGCATATGATGTTGGACATCTTTTCATCTGCTTATTTACCATCTGTGTATCTTTGTTGGTGTTTTCAGATCTTTTGCCCATTTTTAAAAGGGAGTTGTTTTCTTAATGAGTTTTAAGAGTTCTTTGTATATTCAGAATACGAGTTATTGATTAGATGTGTTTTGCAAATATCCCCTCCCGGTCAGTGGCTTGTCTTCTTGTTCTTTCAAGGACTTTGGCTTTTCCTGAGTGAAACGGGGAGGTTTTAATGGTTTTGAGCGGAGGAGTGACATTACAGGCAAATTATAAATAATGATAGTAGCATGAACCAAAAGGAATTCTCGTGTACACATTAGCAGCCTTCTCTTTCAGTAATGAAGATCATTTTTTCTAAGTGGTTTTTCAAAAATGTGTTTCCCAAGTACAGATTGCTACACAGCTTGTTCACAGCTATGGCCCTATTTATTTCAGCCCACACTGCTGATACTTGAGTTGTGGGTGATAATGATCTTTTTATCACCTTTTTATTACTCACAGATAATATGAAAGTCCCAACTGGCCTGTCTTTCACGCAAGAGGCTTTTACAGCCTACAGGTGTCCTTGGCCAACGCTTCCTGCCCTCTCTTCCCACCGTCTCGCTCTCTCTCTAGGGCAGGCCCAACTGCTATTTATAGAGAGCTGTGCTTAACTGTGGATGTCCTCAGCTGTTTCCAGTCTCCTCATTTCACTTTGTTCCTCTGAGTGAATGGTTCCCTCCTGCTTCACCATCTCCTCTTCAAAATGAGCCTGCCTCTCTGCATGCCTTCAAATCCCCAAGTGAATTTGGAGAAAACAGATTTCTTTCTAGGTGGTCGGGTTCAGTCTTCTCTTAGATGGCTCTGAGGCTTGAACTTGCATTAAATGCGGCTTCTTGGGCAGCGTATGAACCAAGACAGATTCTTGAGTGGGAAAGGCCAGGAACAAGGCCAAGCATGACTGCGGAGCTCCCACCGCTGCCCCCCGGCTTCACTGTGTGTAGAGCTGGACAGCAGGGGTATACTTCAGAAGTAAATCTGAGTAGTGGGGGCAAACAAACGCAGGGCTGCCATCAAAAACTCCAGACATCTGAGCACACCCATGTGAACAGTGGAGTAGCACTGGGGACTGCAGGGGCAGGAGCTCTTGTTCTCACGGAGGTGCCTTGGTCAAGGGTAAGATGTCAGGTTGTTGGTGAGGCAGAGAGTAGATACGGGAGGTGGCATCTCAGCAGACAGCAGACTGCTTGTGCTCAGGATGGACATGACCCTGCCTTGTTTAGAAACTCACCCAGACAATAACTACACAGCCAGTACCCACCTTGGATTCACTAGCACATTTCCGTCAGAGGCCACAGCCTTCTTCATAGGTGTCTTTAACAATGGGCAATATGAAAATAATCACCAACCATACTGAAGTGCATTCAGTGGGAGAGGGAATGTGCCAATGAGTCAGAAACAATAGAGCAAAGGAGCTTTAGAAGAAAGTCATCGGCAGCTCCAAATTCACAGACGCCACGCCACAGTTTACAGTCTGTTTCCATTAGGTCACAAGCATGAAGGTGAAAGAAAAGACGATTATTCTACGTGAACAGGTGAAAGAACCATCTCCGACCCCAAGACTCGACTCCAGTTGTCTTATGAATCTGTACTGCTGTCAGTTTTCTTGTTCCCAGCTCCTTCAAGGGCACATGGAATGCAGCTGCCGATGGAATCGGTGAGATGCCACCTGTGCCCATCCCAGCTGCACTTGCTTCCTGGGGTCTGCATCGCCGCAGCCTGACCTTGAGGGGTGGTGGGGCACCTGCTGTTTCCCAGATACACCTGTCATGTTTTCATCTAACAACCAGGAGAACAAAATACGACTCAATGGAGAAATGTATTCTTAGTTATCTGATGAAGTTTTCTCCTTAAATATTTTGTTATCCATTTTTGGCATTGGTATGAATTTGGGACCGTTGCCACCAGCTCTGAGGGATTTCAAATGTGCTTTTGGAGTTTGTGAGAACCAAGCCTCAGGGGATGTGTGAGTCAGTTGAAGCACTGCGGTCTTGCTGGTCTCTCTCTGACATTTCATGTCTCTGGCATATCTGAATTTAGGTTGGGAACTGGAGCTTTGGTACACTTATATCTATTACTACCCTTTGTAATCTGGCCAGTTCCATACTCATGGAGACAATTCCCAGATGGCTACAGCATTTCATTTAGAGTTGGGCTGTGGAATTTGTTGAAGAAGGAATGCAAAAGAGACACTTGTTTTATTTAAGGTTTGAATTTCTTCCAGTAAACGACTTGCTTATTAGGCTAAAGATTTTTGGGGGGAGTAGCTTACTTATCTGGTATTTAACAGTCAAATCCTTGAAATTTCTGCCTGTTGCTTCATGTTTTCCCATGGATTTGGAAGAAGAGTTGTCCGGAGACTTCCAGGTTAGCTCCACGGACCTACATTTTCACTCCATTTAACATTATTGACTGGATCGGGCCCAGAGAGCTGTGGAAGAGCTTAATTCCTGATCAGAAGACAGAAGCGGTTTAATTAGAATAAAGCAGCGACTACTATGTAATTAAAAATTAGATGAACCATTGAATGCTAAGCAGACTTTTAGAAGGTGAACTTAGGATTTAAAACCTACCACTGCCTCTCGGTATGGCATGGTGGAGATCTGCCCTACAGAGACCCCAGCACACTGGCAGCCCAGCTGTCTGAGGACTGTTTTGTAATGGGGTAGTCACGCTGGCTTAAGGGGAGGAATAATAGATTGGGAGTAGTCATCGTTTTCTTCTTTAATTTATTTAATAATACTTGCACACGGGACAACGTTCAAGGGTACAATAAGTAGAGAGTGAAAAGCAAATTTCCCTCGTTCCCCTGTCCTCCATGCCCAACTCCATCTCCCCGTGGGGAACCCTTGTTAAGTGTCTGGCATATGCTTGCAGAGATGGCTCCATGCGTTTCTAAACACCTACATACATTTTCTTCTTGCTTTTTTTAAAAAAACACAAAAGGTAGATAGTATCCACACTGTTCCCCATGTTCCCTACCCCTCCAAACATAACTTGGAGATTGTAACATATGAGGATACAGAGCTGCCTCTTTTTTAAAGGCTGTATGGTAATGGCGATAGTCTGTGGAAGCATTAGAATTCATTTAATCTGTCCTCTAGATTATTTCCAATCATTTGCTCTTACCCTGTGTTCTAATTTTAGATGCCACCAGGCAGTTCTCCAGGTTAGGGACCAGGCAGAAAACAGATAGATGGCACACTAAACAGAGGTAGGTGGTTGATGAGACTATTCATGAAGTGAGGGCAGAAATAAGGGCAACCCACAAGATGTGTGGAAGCACCCTGAAAAGTCATTAACTCTCCCTGGCCCCGAAGGGAAAGGTCAGGGGAAGCAGGGTTACTCCAGCCAGTGAGACCTGTAGTTACAGGAGAGGCTGCATGACAGGAGCCATGGTCTTCCACCAGTGGTACGTTGTAAATGTTTAACACCTGGCTGTCTGCGACGGAGGCCCTGATGTGTACTGCCTGCTGATTTCTGTGCCGTTAAGTACTTCTACCAGGTTTTCAAGGTACCAGCATGACAGGGCGAGACCCACACAGACCCCTGTGAGCCAGCTCCAGCGTTTACCGCCCGAGGCCCCTGCTTTCTGCCATGGTCCCCTGTTGGCTCAACCCTACCAGAAGCCAGAGAGCAGGGAAGCCTGGTTGATACAGTCCTCAGAGGTCAGTGAAATACACAGGCTGTGCAGTTTTGGACCGGTCATTTCAGCTCTCTGAGGCCCCGTTTTCTCATCTGTAAAATACCAGAATTACCTCAAATGTATTCAATGAACCTTTATTAAGTTTCTTTCTTTCACTTGCTCTGTGATGAATGAATCTGGTAACCTGAGTGGGTTAGGTCATTTAGTGCACAGTTGCTATTGAATGTGAGATATCTGTGGGTCCTGCAGTTAGGGAGCTTATGTTTAATGAGGGAAATAAGATGTGCACGAGCAGGTCCAGCTATGTTGTAGGTCTAGCTGTGAACAGAACCATAAGCCTTCAGAGGAGGAAGTAATCTTTCATAGTGGGGTGATGAGGCTGTTGATGGCAAAGACCTGGGGTGACCTTTGCTCTGTGTTTGGGAGTCTGAATGATTCTCCAAGTGGGAAAAAACAACACTTCTAGATTCACTCTACATATACACTAGGTTCTCTAAGTATGGTCCTGGAACCATCAGCATCTCCAGGGAACTTGTCAGAAATCCAAATGCGTGAGTTCTGCCCCACCTACGAAATCTCTGTTACTCCAGGTGATTCTGATGCCTGTAGATGTTTAAGAAACACTGAGCTATACCGTATCAGTGGTCCCCAAACCTAGCTGAAAATCAGCATCAGATGAAGACTTTAAACACGTGCACACGAACACTAGGCTCCTGGGCTGTACTTCAGACCTACGCAGAATCAGAATCTCCCTGGGGAGCTAAATACTTCCCAGACATGACATTTTCTACTGTTGATCTTAATTGTTGCGGTAACATTGAACCTATTACTTGCTTTGTTGATACTGCCTGTTCTTCCTTCCCTAGTGTTTTTTCAATCACGCTTTCAAAGTCTGAGAGTCTTTAAATTCTGAGTTGTGGCAGCTATCTCATTCAGCTCTTCGCTTTGGCTGAGGGTAGAGATGATTGTTTCTGACCTGAGTCACAGTACGGAGTTGAGATGAAAACTGGACAGCTGTGGATGCTTCCGGAGTCTGACCTTAATGTTGCTTTGTGATTAATTTGTAGCACATTTTCACATGATACGCACCACTTATCAAATATTAAGTACAAAAGCTGTATTTTGAAGGAAAATTAGAATGATTCTGGGACTGTCTATGCTTCTGCCTGGTTAGAGTTCTGGATGGAAAAGCCTGGAGTTTGTAACAGTGGATAATTTGGCACAGGACTTCTAAAAAGTGAACTGGGCAGAGTTGCTGGTCATTTGAAGCCCGAGTTTTCGGAATATTTCTAGACACTACATGAAAAAGGAGACCCCTACCCCTGTGAATTGTGAAGTCTTTGCTGATTGTAAATAAAGCTCTGAATGTTGTTGTATGTGGCTTTCAGTGGACCTGTGCTTTCATGTCTCTTGGGTAAATACCTAGGAAAGGAATTGCTGGTCTTAGGGTAGATATATGTTTAACTTTGCAGGAAACTGCCAGTTTTCCAAGCATATCATTTACACTCCCATTAGTTGTGTCTGGGAATTCCAGTTACTTTACATTGTTGCCAACACTTGATGTATCGTCAGCCCTTTCCACTGATCCATTCTGGTGGGATGCAGTGTTATCTGCAGTTTTAATTTGCATTTCCCTAATGACTAAAGAGGTTGAAGACTTTTTCACGTGCTCACTTACAATTTGTTCATATAGCTTCTTTAGCGAAATATTAAAGGGACTTTCAACCATCTTGCTTGTATCATAATAGTCCAAACATATTTTTCCACCACAGTTTCACCCATGATCTCAGATGCCCTTTTTCCTTCGCCATCCTTGAGAACACCCTGGACTGGTAAAAAATGACACACCTTTGAGACGTGGTTCCATCCGCCTCTTCGCCCTTCCAGGCCCAACTCAGAGGCCACCTTTTTTTTTTTTTTTTTTTTTTTTTTGAGACGGAGTTTCGTTCTCGTTACCCAGGCTGGAGTGCAATGGTGCGATCTCGGCTCACTGCAACCTCCGCCTCCTGGGTTCAGGCAATTCTCCTGCCTCAGCCTCCTGAGTAGCTGGGATTACAGGCACATGCCACCATGCCCAGCTAATTTTTTGTATTTTTAGTAGAGATGGGGTTTCACCATGTTGACCCGGATGGTCTCGATCTCTTGACCTCGTGATGCACCCGCCTCGGCCTCCCAAAGTGCTGGGATTACAGGCTTGAGCCACTGTGCTCGGCCAGAGGCCACTTTTTAAACTCTTTAAGCCTCTGGCCCTGCCCCCTCTCTGCAGAATTTAGGGTTTCCTCTGCCGTGCTTCTGTGGTGCTGAGTCCGCATCTGTGTGGCCATACTTGCTGTGCTGTGTGCAAGCTTCTGTGCTTCACTGAGGGCAGTTCCTGGTTTCACTCTTAGCATTCACAGTGCTTACACCGTCATCTACCATGGAGTCTAAGCCCAATATTGCTGGACTAATTTATTACCCATTTCCTCCTCTCAGCTGCTCTATGTAAAAAGATAAGTGTTAGCCTTAAATCAGGGACCAGGGCATAGATCCAAGGGGGTCAAGTGACTTGTCGAATGGGACACAATATATTTGTTACACAGCCAAGTTTTGACTCTTTGACATTACAGTTTTCCAGAGAGGTATGTTTTAGGTACAGTGTATTTTGACCTAGCTTGTTACCACTACCCGTGTACATGTACAGACATATTTTCCAGCGGATATGCAGGCACAGGATGGTTTTAAGGGAATCCATTTCCAGACCCTCAACTTACATACACACTCACCCAAAACTGACTAGCCTTGGAAGGCGCCTGAAGCAACGGAAGACATGAAGCTGGCTTGGCTGCCCCGTCTCCACTCTCACAATCGCCATCCTCCCACTTCATACAGAAAGGCAGACTTTTCACCTATCATCTTCCCGAGGTGCACTGCTGCTAGATGGAAAATTTCCAGGCTATGTAACAAAGGGACAATTAGAAATCATGGTGTTAAGAAGTCAATGACTTTAATGACTGGAATTTCGAAACTCGGGGGTTTCCACGTCTTAGCTTTCACGGAAATCAAAGGAGACCTCATCAAGTTGTTAATAAATGATTTAAAACATTTTTAACTTATGATAGAACATATCTGGACTTTGGCTCTGTAACTCAGAAGGCTTCAAAGAGTTAAGTTATATCATAACAAAACTCCTTCCATTTTCATGTATTTATTTTTGTGAACAAAGTTTTTCAGGGTTTGCATAAAAATCCCCCAAGATAGAAAAAGAAGTGATGCTAGGCCATACCTCACAAAAAGTGATAGTTGTTCATGGGCAAATGAACAAACTAACATTAAACAAAAGAAGCCCCATCCATTTCATTTAAAAAATTCATTTCTGGCTGGGTGTGGTGGCTCATGCCTGTAATCCCAGTACTTTGGGAGGCTGAGGTGGGTAGATTGCTTGAGCCCAGGAGTTCAAGACCAACTTGGGCAACATAGTGGATCACTATCTCTGAAAAAAAAAAAAAAAAAAGAAAAAGAATAAAGAAATACACTTCAAGATAAAAATTTGCTTTTTATATGTAATTAAAAAAAACTGTAACATACTGTTTCCATCACTTGTGTACTCATAATAGTTGTGGTAATTCAGTTCAGAAAAAAAATCAGAGCAATTAAATTCTTATGGTTTAATACTCTTAAAGGTAGAGTCAATTACCATTATTTGTGGTAGTTATGTTCTAGAAAGTTACCTTGATCATTGAATTACTGACAAATGAAACACTGCTACTAGGAGGAATAGAGGGTTAGGATCCTTTAAGACTCTGGTCATAACATTTTGCCAACCAATCAATACATAACCTTGTTTTATGTGTATTTTTGTTTGAAGATACCTTCTTTAATATGTTTCTTACAATTCATTAATTATATGCAGTATTTCTTTATAATAAAACACTGTGTTTCAGTTACAGCATTATGAACTCCTCTGATGGTACTAGTTCAATTCTCAGTCATAAGTACCTACATGCACACAGTACACCTATACAGTACTCACGTTAAGTACTGACAGAGTACTCAGAGTACTCACACAGTACTGAGTACTGTGAACA